GCCCGGGAACTGCTGTTTTAAATCATATAATCCTCACAACACCCTGTAAGGGAGGGAGTTGAATGACGCCATGTTACAGACAGGAAACCAGGGCCCAGGGAGGGGGAGTAACCTGCTAAAGATCACACAGGATCTCCTCTGAGATCACCACCACTGTCACCTTGGCGTGAGTCCCTCCAGACCTCTTACCAATGCATCTACTTGTAGGACGAGCTTACATGCCAAGAAACGTAGAGTTTTGTTTTGCTTCTTGCAAATTCCCGTCTCTTGGTTGAGGTCCCAGAGATAATGCCAGTGGTTCTCAAAGTGTGGCCGCTGGACTAAGCAGCATACCGCGGAACTTGTAAGCTATGCAGATTCTTGGGCTCCAGACTGGAATCAGAAGCTCTGGAGGTGGGACCCAGGCCCTTCAGGTAAATCTGACTCCGGCTCATACTCTGCACTTTTCTTTTTCTGCTCAATGCTGTATCTTATTGATGATTCTTTTTTTTTTTTTTTTAAGATTTTATTCATTTGAGAGAGAGAGAGAGCAAGAGAGAGCAGGGTGAGGGGTAGAGGGAGAAGTAGACTCCCCGCTGAGCAGGGAGCCCCGTGCGGGGCTCGATCCCAGGACAAGTGATCGTGATCTGAGCTGAAGGCAGACGCTTAACCCACTGAGCCACCCAGGCACCGCCTCTTAGTGATGATTCTGTGTAGAAATGGCCTCCTTCCGTTTTGACAACTGTATAGTATTCTGCTATAGATATTCATTTTCATCAGACATTTCCTGAGCACCTGCTTTGTGCTGGGCACTGTGCTATGCACTGGGGGGTGGGGAAGGAAGCTGAAATGAACAAAGCAGACAAAAAAATCTCTGCCTTCCAGGGAGGACATTTAGCAAGGCGGACAATAACCCAAGGACAACCTGATGCATCGTTTTGAGCCAGGAGGTCATTACTGCTATGTTGCAGGGAAGGGAAAAAAAGCAGGTCAACGGGTGCAAAATGACAGGGGAGCTATTTTGGAAAGACCGGTCAGAGGAGGGATCATGTAAGCAAAGATCTGAATGAAGCCAGGGAGGGAGCCAGGAAGAAATGCAGGGGGAACACGTCCTTACTGAGGTAGGAGCACCACACAGCCCGGCACGTCCAGGGAGCGGGGCTAGAGCAGAGTGAGCAAGGCTAGAGCAGAGTGAGCGAGGGGGTGATTAGTGGGGGACATGACATGGGGTACATGGCTGGTCTGCCACATTTTTTTTAGCCACCCCTGATGCTGCACAATTCGGCTGCTTTCCTGGGTTCTGCTCCAAGATGACGCCACCCTGAGCATCTCTGCACACCCAGGGCAGGAGCCCAACATGGAATGATTTGTTGACTTTCCTCCCATAAACAAGCCCAGATGGGGGCTTCTGTTCTGGGGGGGGCGGGGGAGGGGTGAGGACGGGGGCCCAGGAAAGCAGTCACAGGAGTAGGAAGCTGGGGGAGGGGAGGGGACTGCGGGGGAGCCGGCCAGTCTTTCTGCCCTAAATAGGCAGGGCTGGGCGCCTGGCCTCCCGGCTCCTCCCCCCTCCTTCCCTCCCTCCCGCAGTCCAGACAAGCTGCTTTTGTCTGAGGGTCAACCGTCAGCCCTCGGCGGCTGCCACCTCTAGCCTCACCCAGACCCGTGTGAGACTCTTCCTGGATCTGGCCCTGTTTTTCCAAAATGGGGTTAGGTCCTAGTGTCTCGGAGGCCCCATCTGTGTTGTGTTAGCCCCTAGCCCCGTCCCTGGTCACTGCCGCTCCCCTAAAAGGGTTTTCACCTTCATTTATTCGCACCTGATAAGAAATGGTCATTTCCTGCAGCAAGAAGGATCCAGGATAGACTCAACCGAACTTTCTCATGGGGATGAGGCGCAGCGGGCAGACACTGGAGGCTTCTGGGTGGGAAGGAAGCAAGGGCAGGAGGAAGATGTGGTTCCCTGGGGCAAGGGAACCTGCTGGGGCTTGCTACTGTAATACCACTACAGGCTAGACTCACAGAAGGACTTTCCAGTAGGCATTTTTTGGGGGGGGGTTCTTCCTGAGGGAAGGAGCAAAGGCTTATATGAGTCATGGTCAGCCTGTTTTATCCATATGAGGGAAAGAATCGGTCTGCAGCAGGAAGGACTTAAGGAAGACTTGCAAAAGGGCTTTCTGCTGACGATAAGGGGCAGTGGGGGAAGATGGGAGCATCTGAGAAGAGAAGGTCAAGGACTAGGAGGAGGCAGACCAATGGATAAGGGATCTGCTAAGTCCTGGATACCAACTTTTAGCAGCGAACTGCCCTTACAGCGAGACCATCTGAACGGAGACTCCAAGAGGGACGTTCTAATAGGGGTTAAGGGACTATGAGCACAAGTGGAGGGAACACTTGACAGAGAGGGGGCAAGGGATGGGTTCTTCTGAAGCTTATCCCACCTAAGAAAGGATGATGTAGCTGCAGCATGAAGGACTCGAGTTAGACAATCAGCAGGACTTCTAATGGGATGAAGGGACAGAGATCTTGAGGGGGATCCTGGGACTTGGGTACTGCTTTTATACTTTTGATATCAGAGCCTCATTGTCAAAGTGAAACTCTGCCCATTGGCGAGGGGAGGGGAGCGCGGTGGGGGGGAGTTGGGGGGGACCAGGCGGAAGAGGATTGGGGACATTCTGACCATCCTGCTCTCCTCATGCCCTCAGGAGGCCTTGCCTGGGCTCATCTGGGACCTGGGCCAGCAACTGGGAGACCTGAGCTTGGAGTCTGGGGGTCTGGAACAGGAGAGCGGGCGCAGCTCAGGTGAGTATGCTTGGAGGGAGCAGGGTCTGCTTGAAACACCCCTATCTTTCCTACTGCCCCCTACCTCGCAGGTTTCCCTGTCTCTGCCTCTTGGTCTCTCCTCTCCCCACCCCTGGTTTCCCCATCCAGGCCCCTGATTGTCTCTCCTCCTCTCCCTGGAATCCAGGCTTCTATGAAGACCCCAGCTCCACAGGAGGTCCAGACTCACCACCCTCTACCTTCTGTGGGGACAGTGGCTTCTCTGGATCTGGCTCCTATGGACGCCTGGGTCCCTCTGAACCCCGGGGCATCTATGCCAGCGAGAGGCCCAAGTCCCTAGGTAAGGTGGGTGGGGTTGGGGCCCCGAGAACCAGGGAATGGGCAGTAAGAGAATGGTTTTGAGCACAAGCTTCTGAGTTAGACTGATTCAAACTCTAGCTGTGACCCTCCCTCCTCATGTGATTTTGAGCATGTTGCTTCTTTCTGGGCCTCTGTTTCTCCATCTGTTAAAATGGGATTAATAACAGCACCTACCTCATAAGGAAGTTTCACATATTCAGTGAGCCTCAGCCCTAACTGCCATTGGACTTGGTACTTGGTAGCCACTCGTAAACAGCAACTGCTGTTGTTCATTTATGCAAGTAAGTCTCTGAGCCCCTGCTATGTGCCAGCTTAGCTCTGTTTCAGTGGTGAGGGATACGACAGTGAAAAAAAAAAAAAAAACCCTGTCCTCATAAAGCTGACTTTCCAGTGGGAGAAACAGATAATATACGAGATAAATAAGATATAGACATATAGGATGAGAAGAAAGGGAAGGGGGCTAGGGAGGGCATCCCCTTTTGAGTTGGGGAGGAAGTTGCAATTTTAGGAGACATGGCTAGGGAGGGTGTCACTGAGACTCTGACATTTGTGTGGCGCCCTAAGGTAAGTGAGAGAGTGGGCCAAGCAGATATCCTCAGGGAAGCGTGTTCCAGGTAGCGCGAACAGCAAGTGCAAAGGCCCTGGGGCTGGAACGTGACTGGCGTGTGCTTCCAGGAGGTCAGTGGAGCTGGAGACCTAGAATTATAGAAGAGAGGGGTTAGAGATGGAGGTCGGAGAGGCAGAGGCAGGGCAGTGAAGATTCAGGGTCTTGTGAAGATTTTGTTATGAACCCGGTATGAGGGGAAGGGTTTTTGATGACAGCGGAAGAGGACGGGGTAGGCAACTTGCCCCACCTAGACTCACTGAGCAAAGGCTTCGAGGGTCCCTCC